TCAACCGCCCCATTCCACGCCCCCAGTCGCATTAATAATGTATTTTCAATGGGCTCGAATCCTCCGATTCGGTTGGATTTGGGTGTGAGGAGAATATTGGTTATAATCAAACCGAAATTGGTGCACTGAAAACAATATTTAAAACCTTTTTACTTTAAAATAAATTTATAACCATGATAATAACAAGTCCCCAAAAAACATATATTTTACTCACACATACCTAATGTTTTTTTACAGCAAATAAAAACTATTTAAATACCGTACTAAAGAATTTCTGTTGGAATTCTAGATAAAATTTCTACTGCACACCTGCCACTAACAAATGCTTTTGACTTTAAAAATGTTCAAAAGAAAATGTTTATTGTCTGCCCATATTAAATTAAATAATAGAGTGCACATAATAAATAGTTGTTTACTATCTGGCTGACGCAATCAAACAACCTTTCGATAAAATTCGATTGGCCTATTGAATATAGCCACAACTGTGAACACAAGAGAAAAATTTCATTACGAATTCAACAACAATACTTCCATGGCCTTATGGAAAATAAAGATGCAACTGATTCGGTTGCGGCTTTATGCTTTTATTTGCGCTACATAAAAAGGTCAAGAAAGCCATTGGCATACATATATCAATTGGTCAAAAAGCAACGAAAACCTCTCGTAATGCGCCATTAAGTGAGGCTTGAGGAGCTTAATCACATGGAAATGCTGAAGATTAGAAATTATGACATTAATTTTTCACAACTCCATAGGATAGGGGATAGAGGACCATTTCTCATTGGGCAAACAAAAGTCAGTTAAGCACAAAATACGGCCAACATTCAAACAGCTGATAAACTTGAAATCTACACACGAACGAGCAAAGCCAGATGAGGGTTCAAAACCCGTCGGGGCTGGGTTTTCGGGGAATAAAAAGCCCAATGGACTTTTGCCTGCGAAAGCGGCAAATCATGCTTAATGTGGCATTTGTATGTTTATTTTTTTATTTTTATACATTTTCCTTCCGTGCTTTTCCTCGGTGACTTAAAAGAAAACGCCAACGGACAAAGCAACAACAATAATACCATAAAAAAGGCAGCAAATAAAATAAAATGAGACGAGATGCGATGAGAAAGAGGCCAAAATGAAGCGCAAGGCCAAAAGCGAGACAGAGGCAATAAGCAACGGCGATGGCAGGGAGCGAATAAAAACCACAGAGGCGAGAAAGGACTTCACTAAGCAGCCCAGAAGGAGAGGAAAGTTAAGATGATATAAATTTTATTGTCATGTCCAAGTAGATTAAACTAGCTGCATATTCGTCTGAGACCAGAAACCCGAATTCAGCTCCTCGAATCCCGTAAACGGAGCTCAAAAAGTAGACTTCAAAAAAGGCACAAGAGATTTATGTGCTTATGTGTGTGCCAGTATGCGTGTGTCCCCCTGTGTGTGCTGGGGATAATAAAAGTATATTTTTCACTTTTTATGCTGCTTATTCATACATATTCGGACACTAAGTGGGGCTCGTGTTTGCAACAAAAAGAGCCTCCAAATTCTTTATTCTTTTGACAGTCAGCCTTGAAATAAAAACACCTTGGGAGATTTGTGGATTTTCGCAGTAAACAGTGATGAGTAAATATATCAGAGCATTGAATTTAAAAAAATTTTTATTCTTTTTTCTTGCACTTTTGCCAAGCATACAATTTTTCATTATTTTTGTAAGGGGATTAGATACTTAATCTGTGGTAAAATATATTTCGCTTCATATCTTCATGTGTTGAAGTTAGAATATATGGGTCTTGATTCCATCCTACATTTTCCATTCTAATGGATTACCTTTAATTTCGTGTTTACTAGGCTCACGCACATTTCCATCTCTGATTTTTATAATAAACGATTATAAACTCGATCGCTGAGTTTTCCTTATCTGGCAACTCACTCCGACATGACCCGACACAAATAAATAATGATTTATGCATCTAGGTGCCCTTCTGACAGTTTGGCAACCCAAGGCAAAAAACGGAGGCCTCAGCTCATTAAGTTAAACTGTCAAAAATTTACATATTCCTCGTCGTTTTTCTTTTTTCCCTTTCAGACCAATTTTATGAAATTCACAAGAACTCGGATTGGTTGACGTTGTTATTCCCTGTAAATATGTCCTTATCTTTCTTGCTTTCGCTGTTTGAAAAAGTTTTTCTGTGTTTCAGGCACTGCTTATCCAATTATCAAAACCAGACATTTAATTTTGCCTTTTACTTGCGCTCGCCCTCGAAAAATTGCTTGTTCAATTAGCTGCCCTTGAAGATGAACATTGCACTCGAGCAGCGTATACAATTTTCAATTCAATTTAGGGTCGCGTCTCAAGTTTTGGGCCCAAACAATTTATCATCATTTTCCAAAGAAAATAAATGAGAAAAAATGAAAACTCTTGCAACTCAGCAAAGTTGGCACGCCTTCATCGGCAGAAACCTTTTTGCCATCTGCTGTCGAAGACAAATTGCAGGTAAAACGTAAATTTCTTCATACTTGAGCGAATCTTTGTTTTTCTATAGGTATTTACTTTTGTTCATTTTTCATGCTGAGACAGGGCGACATTGTCCTTATCAGCTAGCCGAAGAATGTCCTGTTGTTATAACAACATAAATTCATCTAATTGGCTACTCCTAATGCAAAAGTCTAAGGAGGTTAAATCGAATTCAAACAGAGGGCACAGTAAGTTCTAAGACAATTTCAAAGGCATAAAATGTAGTGGTATAAGCTGGCAATTTTAAATAGAACTTAGCAGTAGATTGAACTTTAAAGAACTTACTAAGTCAACTGTTGTTTTACTAATTTGAGTTGGACTTCAACATTATATATATGTTATACGGTACGTTAAGTTTTACAAGATATTCGCATATTCATGTAGAAAAATGCTATAGAAGCATATTTAATTTTCGGTTAGCTATGCGAGTGGATCTACGCAAATACGTTAAGCATACGCCCTGCAAAACTGAGAGTTAATTGAAAGCCAGCGGCGAAATCAAGGCAACTGTCTCCCCGAATGATGGACTGTCTGGCTGAGGCGCTGGCTGACAGACTGAAAGACAGTCTCTCTGCGGCTGAAACTCCAGTGCCGCCGAACAGTATATTAAATTTAGCTCTTAACGCGCTGATAGACAATCAAATTTACTTCGATTCGCAGTGCACTTCTTGGACTCCTCGGCTGACAGGTGCCGCGCCGTTTGAGTTGCCTGTGTTTGCCGAGATAACTGACTGCTGCTGATGGTTCCCATTAAGCCCGAGTTACACGTCCGACTCCCCACGGCCAGCCCTCCTTTGGGTTTTAATTAAAATGTAATTTACTACCCTGTCGAACGGCAATAAACTCAAACGTAGACGCTGCCGTTGCATTTCCTAGTGGCCAACTTAAATTGACTGACGGACAGACATTTCGATGGATCGATGAGTGGGGTTTCTAAATTTGTAAAGGATTTGTTCTTTAAGCATTTTTAAGCCATTTTTATACCCTTGCAGAGCAAAAGGGTATTATAATTTCAGTCAGAAGTTTGCAACGCAGTGAAGGAGACACCTCAGACCCCATAAAGTATATATATTCTTGATCAGCATCACCATCTGAATCGAAATATGTATGTACGTCTGTCCGTCTGTCCGTCTGTCTGTCTGTCCGTCTGTCCGTCTGTCCGTCTGTCCTCCTGTCGGTTTCTATGTAAACTAGTCTCTCAGTTTTAAAGCTATCGTGTTGAAACTTTTCCAAAAGTTGTGTAGTTATTGCACGCAGTATATAAGTCGGAAGGAGCCGGATCGGCCGACTATATCGGATAGCTCCCATACAAGAGGTCATAAAAATAAAGGATAAAAAATTATTACGCCGTTGTTTTTGATCTGATCGACTTGAATTCTTCAAGATGGCGTTTTCTGACTGTTATTGAATTTCGGATTAAATTTTATCAAAATCGGATAACCCTATCATATAGCTGCCATAGGAAAATATATATAAAAATAATGGCAAAATAATCATAACGTTGTTGTTTTTTATTCCACGAGCATGATTTTTACAACATCGACTTTATGAACTACCCTTGAACCGAGAAAAAAATTTCATAAAAATCGGACAACTATATCATATAGCTGCCATATGAACAATAGTCGAAAATATGGAAAATTAATAGAAAAGTCGTCATAGCTTCGATGTTGTTAGCCTTTATGTATTTTGTTCGATATGTTTGATGACTGCAAGGGTATATCAGCTTCGGCTTGCCGAAGCTAGCTTCCTTTCTTGTTTGTAGTTGAAATGAATAACATAGTTCCTTTCCAAATTTAGTTTGCTATCTTCTTACTCAATTAGTTTTTTAATTTTAAACACTAGTTTTATTTCTTTGTGATTTATAATTATAGTGTAATGAAGCTTACTTATAAATGTGTGTATAATATGTACTCTTGAATGTGTTTTTAGCACTTGTGAGTACTTATAATCACAATGACCCCAAGCCACTCCAGTATTTTCCGAGCTCAAAAGGCAAATCATCTGCAGACAAATGTTTCGAATCGTTTCGGATTTACCCCAGACAGGTCCAGACATACTTTGAAGCATAAATTTGGCCACTTTGCATCCGAGACTTTGGACCTTCTTTGCAGCTTAACTTATTTTTTTCTTGAAAAATTTGAAAAATGCCCAAGCATTTTTCTATTTACGTGCAGCGCAGCCTTAAGAGAAAAAAAAACGAAAACCCATGCAAAAATAAAAAAGATTTTAAAACTTTTGCAAGGCTGACCCTTTTCTGGCGTTGGCCTTGGGGATTAACGGAGGGAAGAAAAATTGAAGCCAGTTACCCCAAACCAGCCGTCTGTCAATTTATTCAAATGCCTTGCAAAGTGCTAAATAAACAAGACTCAGTCCCCCGTCGTGGTCATGTCATTTTTCTTGGTTTTAGCCGGGTGCAAAAACAGAAAAAAAACGAAAACAAAAATTATAGCACACTTATTTGGTGTTAGACAAAGCCCCCTTACTCCGCACTCACCTTGTATGGGCACATAAATATTTAGATAGAGGCAATCCTCTGATTGATTCTGCAGATAGGGCAGCAGTCGCTTCAGATACTCCAGTCTGCCCTTGGGCATTCGTTCCAGGGCCGCCGTCTCATTGTGGATGTCCGGCAATCTTTGTGGGCAAACCGGGCTGAATCTGAAAAATCGAAAAGGATCTCAGTGGCGAGCTTGTCAAAGAGGCAACTTTCTCCCGTGGCATTTCGCCGGTTGTTCGAAAAGGTTGCCTCCCCCTTACATAAATAAGCGAAAAAAGTTTTCTGGTAAATAGGCTTATTTTTATGCCCGGCCTCGAATGTCGTTATAAATAGATTAATTTGCCAGGATTGTGTAATCTGCGAGGAGCTTTTCGGGGGAGTTTGTAATCATTTGAAGAGAGGCCGAGCCACTGTCAACTTTCTGATTGTCTTTTGGCCATAATAACTTTTTGATTTGAACGCAAAGTTTGCGTTTTAATTTGTTTTCTCGGCTTTTGGTTGCCCCCTTTTTTCGTTTTTCTCTTTAAGGCCGAGGCTTATTCCGATGCTGGTAAATTGGTTTTCGATTTGGCTCTTATCGTTCGATTTTGCCTCTTGGCACAACTGCCTCTCTGTGTGCACTTGTGCAATTTACTGATTTTCTCCCTCTATTCCCACATTTGGGCCATGCAAATGCCAGAAAGCCCCTCTTTTGGCCTTGCGCTCATTTATGAATCCAACGGGGTCCGTATACACAGCGAAAAGGGCAACCCAATAAATTTAAAAAATATACCTTTAATTTTAAAATTTTCAAATACATTTGAAATATATTAAATTAAATCGTTTATCCGATTTTTTTAATAATCTCTCTAAAAGCTATTAAAAATTAACAGTTTTTTTTTCATTTTTAACAGATTATTAAAGCCAAAACTAAATGTTTACCCTTTAATTTTTTTGAGAAAAGATAAAGTATTCACATCTGTTCAAAAGTTGCTGCTATATATTAAATACTTCTTATTAAGCTTTCAATGGGAAAGAACAATATGAGATTTCTTTCAGTGTGCAGTGGCTTTGATTCTTCCAGCTGCTTTGAGTAGCATTGTTTTTATTTGTTTTTAATCTGATCTGTGTGTGGAGGGGCGACACACATTTGTTTATGTATGTTGACTCCACCTGTTTCCTAAAATTTCCTGTGTGAGTTGTGCTCTCTAGGTAAAATTGCGTACAAATTTCGGGATGGAATTGGAAGATTTGTGGCATCACAGGGCTTCAAAGGCAATCTGTGGCCACTAATGAATTAATGCCAGTGCGATGTGTCTATTGAAAGCCTTCAATCCCATTCGTGGAGCCCCTTTGGAAGTTACAGTTTCAAATCCTTTACAGTTCAGAGCTGAAATCCCTTAAAGTAGTCGGCTTAGCTCATTAACAGCCACAGCTCCTGTTGGCCATCAAATTGTCATAAAGCGAAAATCAATAGGAGCGTTTAAGAGCGAAATCTCGCTCGTTGCCCACACTCCCTATCGGCTGGCCATTATGGGACTTCCTCTTTCAGTCATCCCAAAATGCATTAACATTAATGACATTGCGAAACGAGAATTTATTTTATTTAATTTCCTTAACTTTATTTCGCTGTTGCCCTTTTATCTTTGTTATTACCGCCAATGCGGTCAGCGCTGCCTTTTGTTTACCACGGCGAGTATATTTAATTTTTTGTTTTTATGGCATTCCAAACGCCTCGCAGAAAATTGGGAATCTACTTGGTACTTGGAACTTGGAACTGACCCTCGGTGGGTTGCCAGTTTAATGGACGCTTGTGGTGGCCATGCGATTGCCATAATAATCATTAATTTTATGGCAAAACAATAAGGCAGGTAATAAAAGTTTCATTTTTGGGCTCCATTTTCCCATCTTTCCCTTCTCCTTTTTTTAATGTAGCGGACATGGTGTCAACCTCGGAAGGCAATGGCAGGAACCCAGTGGCAGGAGCAGCTTGGATGAGCAGAAAATATTAAAAATAATGAAAGTGAAAAGTTTCCTCGGCAACTGGCGTAGTTGTAGTGGTGGCCAGGTAACGGAATCCCCCCATTTCGGGGTCATAAAAGCCACATTTTGCCTTTTTAATGTTGGCCCCATGGCAAACGAATGGCGCACATTCTCAAGTGGCAAGCGATCTTGTTTATGCCACTTTGCCACCGCTGAATTTTCGCAGATAAGAACGGGTGGCACGCAACACCGTGGCACAGGTAGCTTCTGGTGAAAAGGGAAGTCGGAGGGGCGGGGCTGAGCTAATAAAGCGGGTGCCGCAATTAAGGTCAGGGTGAGTTCTTCTCGCCATCGATGCAAATGGCCGGGCATTAAAAACTTGATAATTACTTGTAGATTTTACAGACAGCTGTGGGATGAAATAATCGTGGTTCCCACCGAGGCAATTTACTTAAGAGCAACCCCATGCTTTCCACCATAGCAATTTCATTGCGCTGATACGTGATGAAAGTAGGTAAACATATCCCAAATTGGCTTAATTCAGATAGGAATAAGGTACCCCTTATATTGTCAAAATACATCCATTAGGTATTACTGACACAATTTATATAAAAAACTCAAAGCCTTAAGTTTGAGGAAACCGTGTTTACCAACTTAACTGTATGAACATTCAGAACATATTCCAGCTCTGGCTATTAACTAATATCTGATTGCATTTCTCAAACACCGTGCGATTTCAACGCAGATTATTTGCCACAAACAAATATCTACGAGATTCATGCAAACATTTCGAAGACGACGACCCTGACCAGCGAGAATCTGCTCGGCAGGCAGAGCACGCGGTCAAAGGCAAACAAGGTGGTAGCTATAGCTATAGCTATGGATCCCATCCCCTCATATTCCGGAATACATGAAATTCGGAATTCACAAACAAAGCATAAAGCAAAGCTGGCCCGAAACGCTCCAGTTTTGTGTACATTTGAGAGGCTGGCTCGGCTAATCTGCATGCAGGGGAAACAGACTCAAGAGCAGACAAAGCTTCGAGGGTCAGGGTTCTCGTTTCTGGGTTCCGGGAGATTTCATGGGGGTTTTTATGGAGCTGGAGTGCCAACGCTTTGTGGTAAGTAAATGGTAGCCAGGACAGCAGCCCGGCCAGAGATCCGCCGGTGCTTTGGGCTTAAATACATCAAACAAAAGCATAATCTTAGCCGAGCAGAAAAATACACGCATATACACTGAGAAAGTGAAAGTTCGGGGATTTCGGTAATATAATATAAGGTGGTAAAAGGTTTATGTTTTTAAAACAATGTTATGTTTAAAGCCTATAAGTCTATAGTTTTAATTTAAATTTATTTAAATAAAATAAAACCTATTTCATATACTACAGGGTATAATGATCTTTTAGTTTGCTTTGTAAGTATGTCAAACATTAACCATTGGTTAATGTTACCACTTTGTAAACACTTTGGTTAGTGTGTCAGTGAACTGCAAACATTTTTTTCAGTGTGGCCTTCAATGGGGGGAAAGGCAGGTGATGAACGAAGGGCACCGGATCGCATAAAATTATACGCGACATTGCGGCCACGTCAAGTAAAATAGATTAATTTTACCTGTGGCCAACGGGCCAGAAGGTTGTCGTCCTCATCCTGATTTCTCCATCCCTCCATCCGCTGGCACAAATTAGATTGGCAGGCGACACAGACACACACACCCCACCACCCCGAACCACCCAGCACCACCCACCGGACCACACACCTCACACCTATCTGGGAAAATCTCCTTCGGGCGTAAAGCTTTCTTGCCGCAGTCAAATTAAATAAAATCCAATTTAAAATGAATTTTCGCAATTTCATTTAAAACGGGCAACAGTTTGTAGCTGCGTCGTCGAGTCAGTCGGCAATTTATGCGGCTGATGTCCTCGAGCTCGCCATCCGTCCCTTAACCCTCCGCTGTGCCTTAACCCTCCGCTGCCTCCTTGCGGTTACCACTTGCTCTTGAGCCTCAAATTGGAATTAACGTTTTTAATGACGGAGACAGCTCCTGTTTGCCGGAGCGAAAGAGATGCCCCTCCAACTGCTGCACGCACATTCTGAAGGTCCTTCCCCTCCTTTTCCACCCTTCCCCGCCCTTCTCTCCCCACCCCTTAAGGTACACCACACCCCACACCATTCATTAATGCGCTTTTTTATTAGGAAAATCGTTAACTTGAGTTTCCCCACTTAGCGTTTTTGCGCCGAGCTTTTACTTTCTCGTCTTTATTAAAAACTTTGGCGTCATGCATAAAACTCGCCAGTTTATTGCGATTTTTACACTTCGTTTATGAGCCAGAACCGGGGACCCGGTACGAACCTGGTCAGGAGAGGTTGGCCACTAATCCGCTTGTTTTTCATAATCCTTACGCCGCAGGCAACGGTTTGGACCAATGTGCAGCCGTTGGAACAACAGCAGCCAAGTGCAAAGTGGCTGGCAGAATTTATTTCCTTTTTATTAAAGACGGTGGGGGAAGTGCGTGGATGAGGAGGATGCAGGGGATGGGGAAGGGAGGGAGGGTGGTTCAGTGGGTGGTTGGGGGACTGGGAGGTTCGGTGGTGACACGCGTGGCTTGTCAAAGCCATGAACAGCTGCTGCTGTTGGCGGGCTAGGAATATGTGTGGACATAATTTCCTTTTTTCCTGCGTTGCCTCCGCTTTTTTTTGTGGTTGTGAGAAATTATTTCTGCAATGGGGTCGATGAAAGTTGAGGGGCAACTGTGGTGGAAAAGTATGCAGGCCGCAAAATTCGGTTTTTGTTGCAGCGGAAATTCAGGTTAAACTTTACTTCAAAGGCCGGATTGTGACAGGTGAAGAGTGGTGAGCACATGTAAAAAAGATGCATCTACTAAAGCTTAGAAAAGTTAGAACATAAAGTGAATCTTTTGTTTAGAAACTATGCTTATGCGTGTGTATTTCCGTGAAATAAACGTTGAGCAGAAAAGTTCCGTGGTTTTCCGGGTTCTAAAATTATTCAAGCCAAATGCCAACCCAATTTTAAAGCCGAACCACGAAACAATCTAAACATTTTAGCCCCCAAAACCTCAAATGTATCCGTTTCCCGTGCAAAATCAGGCTAATGACCTATTGTGCCAACTGTCCGTGGACAACTTTATTACGCTGACGTGCTGAAAAATCTCTGGAGCATTACTCAAGCCGTTTTATTGGCTCCTTCTGCGACTGACCCCCGCTGTCAACAAGACGGCCTGACAAAAAAGCCGCTCACCACTCCGGAAAAGCGAAGATGATGCGGCAGAAGCGACGGCAGAAGCCGTCAGTCCGGCGACTTGAATTACCCAAAAATTGGCGGGGAGAATGCGAGAATGCGAGAACCATCAGTCTGCCGCCAGGCCGCAGGTGGTATTCTTTGTTAAACTTGAAAAATTATATTTTATTTGCCGGTCTCCGCTGTGCGCCGTACTGATTTCGCGAACCTTTTTCCATCAGCATGGGGCTTGGGGCTCCCAGTCTTGGAAAAGGGGAAAACTTCGCCAGCTTCGCGGCCCCATTTCGCTTCCCTTTTTTATAACAATGGTAAACAAGGGAAGCGGGAATATCTCTGGGCATCTTTGTGAATAATGATTTGCCACTTGGGAGCATTTGTAAATTAGATGCCGCCGCCGTGTAGCTGCTGTTGTCCCGCCGCGCAGTTTGCTGCCGGCGACAGCGTAAATATTTAATTTGCGAGATATTCCGAGCGGAAGCCCGTCGACTAAGTTGACCTTTGACTCGCGTTTTCTCCTTTTTTCGTTCCTTATTTTCAGAAACCATTATCATTATGCCCATTGTTGTCGCAAGGGTTGTAGCGCTTTCTATTACTTTCATTACTTTCAGTACCGCTCGGCTCCAAAAGCTTTCGGACCGCCGCCTGCGCACTTGACTCAATAATGAGTCAGTTAATTGAGGTGACAATTGTTGGCCACTCTCGGGAGACTCGGAGTTCGGCCCTTGACTTATGGCATTTTGATCATTTTATGCACTCGAAAGGCAAATCAAACCCAACCCTTTTGCGAAATGATTTAATGCTTTTAGATGGACAAAGCATTCTGTCACAAGGTGGAAGTTTCTTTGGCTTCTTGGGAAATTTATTAAGTAACTGCGACGAGGGTTCGCGTTGCTCCTGATGGGATTCGACAAATTTGCTGGATTGCGAAAAGGCTTGTCCCTGGGACTTGTCTGTTCCGACTTGGAAACTTGTTTGCTTACTTTTTTATACAATTAAAATTAATCAACATTTTAAGGATACTTGGATATTATTCAAAACAGATTTATGATCAAGGATGTACGAAAGAAGCATAGTTCACATCACAGAAATGTTTTATGTAATGTTCAATCTTTATGATTCTCATTGCAACAATAAGTAGTTTCATTTTGAAGCTCTCTGGGGTAATTTTTCGCTATTTTTCAGTGGGAGAACACCATTTCGACCAATGCCACCTTAGTAATAATATACCATTAAAACGTATAGTTAGCTGACTCACCTGTCCGCCTTCTTGACACCTGACCACATGGCTGCGGAGACGGGCGGCATGAAGCGCAAGTTGCCGACGGGCGGGGAGGCGTAGGGGATTCCCCGGTACGCCTCCACCGGATCCAAGTGGCGGCCATCTAATTGGACAATTACACCCGAAATGTCTCCGTTGCGTGTGCGGATAATCCGCGACGAAAGCTGGGCGGGTAATTGATCATGGTTCGGACCGGAGTTGGAGTTGCCATTGCTGCTGATGGGGCGACCACTGCGGTTGCCACTGGATCCACTGCTGCTGGAGGAAGACGAGGAGGAGGAGCTGCTGCCCGCCGAGGCGGAACCCGCCGACGAGGATGAGGTGAGGGAAAGTGAGGGAACCGAACTGGAGGTGGCGCTGCTGGAACCGATCAGCACGAGACCTCCGATGTTCGTAGATGAAGGTCCCAGACCCGAGGTTCTCTGCGAAGTGCTCAGGTTCCCGCTGTTGCTGCTGTAACTAACGCCAGCCGAGGAGCAACTGGATATCTGGATGTCCAGCAGCAGCAGAACCAGCAGGGAGGACCACGCCCACATCCGCCCGGTGGGCGGCACTTTCCGCCGCGCTCTCGTTGCTGCTGATGGCGGGAGTTGTCGCTTCGAGTGCAGCAACATAACCATTATTATTATTGGTCAAAATGGCCACGTCGCAATGTTGTCGTTGTTTTTCCGATAACTGATGTCAGACGAGTTTTTTATATGCTTTTTTGTCGCTCAGCCCTTGTATAATTGACCACAAGATAGCTGTTCGTGGCGTGGCCTGCTTTTCGCTCAGCTTGTTTCGGCAAGGAATGTCCGGTTTAAATTTGACTGTACGAGAACGATGCGTTATTAGTTTACGGGTTCAAAAAAATATGGCAGTTTAAGGGAGCTGAAACGAAAGGAATAAAAGTGGGTTAAATCAAATGAATTTAAAACTGTATTGCATGGCAAATTGATATTTGAATTGCTCAGTAAGAATACAATCTGAAAGTAGTTCACCCTTATTATGAAACAAACAAAAAATCCAGCTAAAGTAAAATACGAATACCAATTTTTATAAGCCTTTTATCTTCACTTTTAAAGTTCTATCTATTTAGCCTTGAAAATTCCATAAAACCTTTTTTGCGTTCTTTGTTTGGACTCTTCTGCTCTCTTTAAGGCAATTCCGACGAGTGTGTGCCTTGAAGCATTTCATTCGGTCCTCACTGCCGTTTTTGTAGTCTGACTAGAGGCACGCCCCCAAAAAGAAAGGGGATAACAAGATGGACTGGGGCAGAAATCCTCCGTCCACTCGTTGCCTTGCCTCGTGCCTCATCTTGTTTTTTGGTATGTTTGCCAGCTGAAGCATCACCTTGTTTGCACTTGGTGTAGTGTCCTTGCCCTTGTTGTAGTCGAAAACAACAGCAGCAACAAAGGAGGCAAGGGGATTGGGAATGGGATTGGGATTGGGTTTGGTTGGCGGGCCAGGACAGTTGGCATTTTGCATATGCCAGACATGTCAGCCTCGCAGGCAGGTGAGCAAAGCCGAGACTCCTGGCATCACGGGGAGAATGCCTACGTGGAGTGACTAGAAAAAGAAGGGGAAATTGGGGGTATTGGGGAAAGAGTCCAAGGCTGAAGCCTTTTCATGTCCTTACTGGTGACACTGGGTCATTGGATCAACAATTCAAAGAAGTCGAGGCTCCTTTTAAACTGATTTCGATTAAGGCGTTGTCTATAGATCGGTTCGTGCGGACTTTTAATTGATGAAACAATGAATAAAAGCTATTGCCTTTTTAGAAAGTACTGCGATTTCTTTGATAAGAATTTGCAACTAAAAGAGCTGCCATTTTAACTTTTTGTCTAAATACTTATATATGTACATACTGAACACGTTTGGTTATCGAAACTAAATAACAATGTTTCCGAATTCGATATATTAAAGTATGTGTATCAAAATTTCAAAAATAAGTCGGAAAACTCAAAATAACTCAGAACGTAATGCTTAGCTAAACAAAGTTTGTTTAATATAAATATAACCTTTTAAATTTTCAAACAAACAATTTACAATACAAAAGAACATCTCATAACGCGGTAAAATATTAAAAATTTGTTATAAATTAATGAAAAACATTTATTTTCCCGATGGTTTTTAAAAAAGGCAATTATAGATAAAAAAAATATTTATAAAACTGTAGTGGTAATTGTATTTCATTCATAAAAATGATAACCGCTCTTTTTATCGGAATTAAATCAATATACATCATTTAATAAACTATTAAGAAATATTGAACAAATTAAATATATTAAATTCGCATTATTTTTTCTTTCTTCGATTTGATTTCTGTGCGAGGATAAACCCCACGCAATCCTTTACCCCATCATCTTTTGTCTTGAGTAAGGCACTCGACAGTCTTATAAGCCCGAAACCAGCCCCACTGATCCTTGCTCCTTCACTCCTAATATGCTTTTTTTCTTGGCAGAGGAAGGCATTCTCATTCAGCTCACACTTACTTATTCCGTGCGTTGGCTCTGCGGCTGTCTGCGGGTCGAGTGCAGGTGCTAAGCCCTTCTGTCGTGCATGTGCGTTGGTTGTCCTTGCTCCTGCCACTGCTCCTGCTCCTTGGGATGCCCCTTTTGCTACTCCTGCTGCTGCTTCTGCTCCTTGTTAAGAATCACTTCACGTACTGCTCGCTCAGCCGCGCTGTCTGCTGCTGCTGCTGCTGCTGCTTTTTCTGCTGCGTTTTCTGAATGCCTGCACGCTACAATTGTCATGCAAGCGGACATTCTCCACGGAAACGTTCACGTACTCGGCGACGAGCTGGATTCCGAGGAGGAGAAGACGCTATTGGTCGGCTTCAGGGGCTCTACTGGGTGTTCTTCCATAGCGGATGAGGCTGCAATCGGATCAGAGAGAGGACACGCTTTATTACACCTTCCATTCAGCCATGCGGCAGTAGTTTAAGTACTTAATGATTAACCAGGCACGCGCCATTCACGTATTTAGATGGGCAAACAATTTTTTCTATACTCGGAAACAGGCAGATTAATAACTAGTCAATTAAGATATTTGCATAAAGATAGGCCTCGCAAAGAAATTCTCTTAGCGAAGTCAGGAAATCAATTCACTTTCATACTTTCATACTACTCTCAATAAAAAATAATTTATAAAATATTAGTAAAGAATTAGAAGAGCTTGTGAAGCCCAAGAAACTATGCACAACCAGTGCCGAACTTAAAGTTGCAATGATCTAAAAAAGGAAAATGTTCTGTGTTTTCTTTTTAATTTTGCATATATTTCCATGATTATTGAAGCCGATACTTCTACTTATTTGGTATTTAATTTTTTTAATGATAATGAGCACACAAAATACAAGCTTAGATTATCCCCATTATGTGGGTGTCCTCTTTGCAGGGTATTAATTGAATCAGTGACTCGGAGCTGGTGGAGTATTTTAATTATATGGTGCCCTCAAGTGTAAGTAAATTATTATGCAGATCATTAGCAGCGTAATTAGACTCGGCTGCCTTTCCGCCCATAATCCTCGGCTCACTAGTTGAATTAATTGTATTCTGGAAATTGAGTTATTCTCGCATTCCATCAAAGCATTCCGCTGGCGTTGTTGGTGCCTTTCATTTATTATGCGAATTTCTACTACATTTTCCGCCTATAATTTCCCCCAGGCAAAGACGAGACGTCGAGTCACATAAGTAAACAGGGACCAGACTAAAAGGGATTTTAGAGTGCTAGTTCTTAAGTTTGCTCAACAAATAACATCATCAAGTTGTCCGCATCCGAAGTGACTTTACTTCACGTTACTTAGTGTCTCTCCCTAGCAAACATTGTAAATCACACGCACTGTTGCACAGATGCTTAGTTTTAATTTTTATTGTGTATATTGTGAATAAGTTAACTATGATGAAATTTTAAGATGAACACTTGGGAAACAGTCAATGTCCAGTTTTAGAGTTCCCGCTTTCTGTTGAAGACATACCCGTAGTAACTATTTTTTTAAGAGAATAAAAAAGTCGAATGAATACTCTGCCTATACGCACTCAATGTTTTTGTGTACACAATAATACCGCCTTATTACATGACAGGGAAAACATCTGCAACTTTGCCGTTTCTTTCCAAGAAATTCTTGGCGAACTTTTGGACTGAAAACAAAAAGTTGTCAAAAGTTCAAATTTGTATACAAGTTGTATAAATGCACAAGTATTTGAAATGACTTTATTCACATTTGTAATTTGTATCTCGGCTCTAGGAAAGATAATTGGATTCGAGAGTGTTTTCATGTTGTTTGCCTAATTTAATTGCAAATAAACGAAACGAAATTCGAGTTTGTGAAATACTTTTGCTTTAATTAAAAATCAAAACGCGATAAGCGGCCCAGGGAATTGCCATGGAAAACGTTTTATCATGGAAACGGAGCAGTGAGGTCGAGGAATAAGAAGTAGTCTCTTGACTTTGCAACTGGCCGCAATTTCCGTCTTGCCGCAACTTTTTCTCTGCTCCTCGGCCATAAATTCAGCGCCAGCTAGACGGAGCATCCTCGTTCGCAGCCTCGGTTATTTTACCCGGTCCGAGGGCCATTAATTTGTCTTCTGGTTTGGCGGCGAGGGTGGATGAAAGGGCATTTTGGACGAGGAGCAGTCGTTGCCGCCGAGGCATTAAACTGCTTAAGTAGCACAACTAAATTAAGAATTGTGGGCCAAGCAATTAGAAAGGCGGCTAAAGGAGGCAGGTCGGCCAATGAGCACTAAAGTTCAAAGTTAGGTCAGTCCTTAGGTGTAATAGATATTTGTTTGCTCCGATTTTGCCTGCCATAATCCGTCTTGTTCGAGAGGGTCCAAAGCACATATAAAAGTGTAATAAAAACCAAGGAAAAATATCACTGATTTGGTATTAAAACTCCCCAAGCAAAGAACTATTAAATATTGATCGGTTTTGTAACCAAGAGGATGATTTTATAAGAATTTCTGAGTGACCCAGAAATATTTACGTAAATACATCGCCGAAGGAAACTTAATTTTTCGCTTTTCATCTGATAACCTATACGTGTATTCAAATCCTAAAGAGACGGCAACGAAGCGTTTGCTTTATATTCAATACTCTCATATCTTTGCCCGTATGTGAAAAAATTGCTTCTTTATGGTATATCGATTGGTACGTTCGCCGACATGTATTTCCGGAAATTTAATCAGTTTTGGTGCTTAACCGAGTTGTGGAAGGCAAACGAAACGAAGGAATCTCCACAATAACAAAAAGAAATCCAAGTCCAAAGGCAAAGTAAAGGCAAAGGAATGCAAGGGCGTGGAGCAAATGGCGGGAGGTGGAAGGGAAATTGTTTAGCAGTTGTCTGACTGGAAATGGAAATGAAAATGTTTCTGACTTACTTGCCTTGGCATTGTTATTTGAGTTTATTGAAATGACTGTCTTGCCTTCCCATGCTTGCTTAAGTGGGTATGAAAATACCCATGTACAGGCGGAAAAAAGGAGGAAAGATAGTGGAAGATGGAAATGGCTTTGCTATCGCAAAGGAAATATATAGGGACAGGAAAGTTTTGTATTTTTTGAGAAATTTTGTATAATTATTTTAGTAAATACCTCGGAACAAGTGCACTAACAGCAGTTTTGAGCACATGACTCCAGGGAAAACTATGCTTTTTGCATAAAGGTTTGTCTGATAAAAACAAAACGAGACCAAGAAAAAGACAGATACTCTGACCAACTCAAACTGTTATTTTTCATGCAAATTTATGCAAAAATGTGAGAAATTCGCTCCAAGAAAATATGAGCGAAAAATGCAATCTGCAAAAGAGTTAAAACCAAAAGAGAGAGAAAGAAGAATTAAGTGGGTGGGAGAACTTTCCAAGCGATGGAAAATAATGCGACTTTTTAACTACATTTTAGTTTAGCCAAATGCATTTTGCATGTCAGAGTTCGTCTCTAGATGATAATATCCCGAAGAACTCTCCGACTTTTTATCTCCGTCTCTTCATTGCCTTAATGGGCTGCCTCCTTTTTGCTGCGTTTTAGGGTTTCATTATGTTGACTATCCGACAAACAAAGGCTTATAATTTTTGCTCGTCCACGCTTTTTATTTATATATAGGAGCCTGTTCGACTTCGCTCCGCTCTTTTCCAGCCAAAAGGGCTAAAACAATGGCTTTACACAACAACGAAGGCATAAATTAAACCGACTTTCATCAGGAAGAGCGCCACTGACAAGTCAACGGGAGGAAAATAAAGAAGCGTCTCTGGCAAGTAGTGCGGATAAAAAATACTTTGCGGAAATTATAATCCTTCTGCATTTTTAAAACAGGAATATAATGGAGGGAAATAGTTTCTGACCTGAGCCTTAAAGCAGCTCGAAAGGGTTTTTTATATTAGCATTAAGGCTTATGTTCAGTTAAATATGAAAGATGAAAGATTGTTCTTAACGCAAATGGAATATTGTAGTTATCCTTATGCAAATGGTGTTCCCATTAATTTGTAATACCCATTTTTAATTCGAACGATTTTACTCCGGACTGTGGGGTACTTAAATTAAATGAATTATTTATGAAACAGTCCGCATCAGAAGTAAAAGAAACTTGTTGTAAAAGTACAGCCCGCTCAATAAATTAACTTTAAGTGATGGGAACAATCAGAGTGAGAAACTCAATCACAAAACGTTTTAATTATGCAAAAGTGGTTCGGCGTCGGCATTCCTTTTCACGAGATCCACATGAATTTATCCCTGAGCCAAGCATTAGCTAAAGCAATAAATTTTTCGCACAATTGGGCCTGGCAGAGGCATGGAAAATTAATTTCCTCTGATTTTACAATTCCGATCCGATATATGGCATAAATTTAGCGCTCGGGGCTAACAAATTTTGAAAGCAAATTCTCGACGCAGTTAGAAATAAATTATCGTTTAATATTGGAAAATAATACGATACCATCGCATCCCTTCCTTTGCTCCCTTCCCAATCATTCGTGTGTTTTTTTATTCCCGTCTGGCCTTGCCAGAAATTCGCAAATTGAATTCGTTATTCTGCGTCGCATGAAATAATTTTGCCTTGGGGGGTCACCAACAGCAAATGACGAAATAATGATATTAAAGCAACATTACGCCATTACGTAGCAACACACATGCAAAAATAATTGACGACAATGACGTAGGCGACATACATTGGCACGCGAAGACATTACGCATACGCCCCGTAAGCAAAGCCAGACTAAATAATGAGGCTAGAGGGCACAGCCACTGTGTAGTGGAGTGAGCAAAAGCTACAACTCGGAACTGTACCATCCAAGGGTAGACATTGGAGCAATCTGTTGATAATCTAGAAAAGGTTGGATACAACTATTTTTTTTTATGTTTCCCTAATAAAACGAATCCTAAAAAAATACATAAATAAATAGGTAAAAGGGAATTTATGAATTCTTTTATATATGTTTGTATGTTATTGGTTAACACATGAAAATATATTTGGACAGCATTCAACTTCTTGAAAGTCAGAAGAACAATCAGTAAAATCTACGTAAAACTCTGCTAGTATCAAACCGACTAAATAGTTTGTTTGTTGTAATTACACCTAAATGACTCCCCACCCAAAATGCTCGTATAATTTATTTAGCACTCTTATCATCCTGCCAGTCCATCACACTTAAGGCGACAATTTCAAATCAAAATCTATTTGCAAAGCCAAGTCGAAGGACACAAGCCCTAAATATTCATCCCGGCTGAGCGCGTTAGTCTTAATTAATTTCCACCCACGCCTAAACAGCTCCTTTGGCTTTGTCAGGGATTACTTTTACTAGTTGTGGCAGGGAACTAGATGCTCTTTGGGGTATTTTAATGACGTTTTCATAAACAGCCGCCGACTTTCTGTATGTCTTTTTTGTGTCT